CCCGTCCAGTCCAGTCCCGCCGCACCTCGGCTCGGCTACACGCTGCCTCGGAGGGGCTGCGGCGGCGACGGCTGCTTATATAGCCCGCCCGGGCTACTGTGCTCGGCCTGGAGCAGCCCCAGCCTATCGCTTCGTGCTGGCGCGGCGCGCAGCCCCCTCCCACCTCGCACCCCCGCCTCTCCGCAGCTCCTTCCCTGCGCCAGCCGCCCCTCCAGTCCTGCCACCGCATGAGGCAGCTGTGGAGGGGCATCTCCTCGCCCCCCCACACACATACAGCATCCCCTAACTGGGGCTTCACACCCTTGGGTGCTTTCCAGTGTGAGGATGCCTCCAGCACTGCAACAGGCTTGCAACCTATTTGGGGGCTGGGGGCAGATATTAGGAAAGACTTTGTCACTAGGAGGGTAGTAAAGCACCAGAAGAGGCTCCCAAGTAAGGCAGTGGACTCTCCATCCGTGGAGGTAGGCCAAGTCTTGGCTGGGGTGATCTAGTTGGCATGGTCCTACTTGGAGCAGGGGTTGGACTACACCAGTGGTTTTCAACGTTTTTTGTACCAGGACCCATTTGTAAACATGGACAGCCAGTCCCAACCCAGTGCCCCTCACTCCCAACCCATTGCCCCGAATATCCAACCCTCCAGTGTGTGGGGCAGCAGGGGGTCCAAGCAGCCATGGAAAAGCCAGCTTCCCATGTTGTTTTCCTTTAAAAGAGAATCCATTTGTAACATTTGTTCGTGACCCTTTCATATATTCTTGCGACCCACTTTTGGGTTCCAACCCACGGGTTGAGAAATACTGGACTAGGCCTCCTGAGGTCCCTTCCAACCCTCTATGACTCTAAGATGGGGGAACAGGCTACAGGGATTCTCTAGCGTGGCCGGGTGGGCTTTCTGTTTTCTTCCTAAGTAAAGATGCTCCCCAACCTGCGTTCATATGGAGCTCTCCCTAGGAGCACTCTCTGCGGTGCTACAAGCCCCCCATGCTACACAACCCTCTAGATTTAAAGAGTGGCTTCAGATGGCAGGGGTTTCAGCCAGGCCATTCTCCAAGCACCAGCTTCCATCAGCTGACACACTTTATGCCCATGGAAAATATGCAGGAGGAACAAGTTCATGCTACCGAATTGGACACCAGGCATGTCCAAAGTCTAGGCACTTTTAGACTTATTTCTAGGAAGACCTGTGCTCCTGGGAATCTGAGCCTGCACTGTTCTTGTCAATGATTATTACTACTGTCTTCTCCCTGTGCAGGATCAGCTTGTGCTTTTCATCTCTATTAAAGGTTATATGTTTCCTCATAAGAAGTTTTTTTACAAAAATTAAGGTAAATGTATCTTTCCCACTTATTTCTTTTTAAGCACATTTCTCTCTCTCTCTCTCTCTCTCTCTCTCTCTCTCTCTCTCTCTCTCTCTCTCTCTCTCTCTCTCTCTCTCTCTCTCTCTCTCTCTCTCTCTCTCTCTCTCTCTCTCTCTCTCTCTCTCTCTCTCTCTCTCTCTCTCTCTCTCTCTCTCTCTCTCTCTCTCTCTCTCTCTCTCTCTCTCTCTCTCTCTCTCTCTCTCTCTCTCTCTCTCTCTCTCTCTCTCTCTCTCTCTCTCTCTCTCTCTCTCTCTCTCTCTCTCTCTCTCTCTCTCTCCCCCCCGCCCCTCCCTCCCCCATGGAAGGTTATAATAGCCAATCAAAGCTACAGTGTATGTGCCTGCATATATATATGTATGCATATATATGTAAATATACATGTGTCTATATATATATGTATAGACACACATATATACACACACATATGTATATGTGTGTGTATATATGTATATTTATGTGTGTGTGTATGAATGTGTGTATATATGTATGTTTATATGTGTGTGCGGGCCTTGTTACACCTTACACTGTAAGCTGTACAGATGTTGATGATAGTACTAGCTCAAGTTTGGAGTAGTCACACTTCAGGGCAGCAGAGGCTTGGAGGACTGAAAGATAAGAATCCCTTCCTCCACCCCCCTTCCAGCTTTTCCCCTGCCCCATGTCTCTTGGCTCCCCACAGACATTTCTTACTTGTGGCTACCTCTGCTGTTGGTCCCAGAAGAGCAGGAGCGAAGGGTTAAGCTGCCTGCCCTGCCACCACTGACCCTGAGAGCAGCAGGGGCTGTGGAAGCAGCTAGGCAAGCAGTTTACCCCTTCCTTGCCTGCTCCATGGGACAGATGGAACTGGCAGCCATAAGTAAGCAGGGGGTGGGGTGGCCAGGAGTGAGTGGGGACCAAGAATGCTGGGGAGGGAGGGCAGTGGTCCCAATCCTGGCCAGCAGGGGAGAGGGGAGGGTGGGGTGTTTACACTAAAGTGTAGTTTAGAGTGGCTGCATCTTCATATAACAGGAATGGTAGAATGGATCAGAGATAATCTTTCCCTGGAGTGGTGTAACTTTGAACTGCTGAATGGGTGCTTAAAACCTGTTTCAGGTGTTAATGTACAAACAGTTAAGAGCTTCAGGAGCCACCAAAAATCACTACATAACAATGCCATGTGTGTTTTTTTATGTGTATACACACACACACACACACACACACACACACACACACACACACACACTCTATTATTTTACAATATACACACACAATTTAAAGAAATGTCACAAATGCTTTGTTTTTTGTAATAATGTTCTCTGAGTGACATGAGTGCTGTGTTTGCTCGTGGCATCTTAAACAATATTTTTGTTCTCCTTAAAATGATATGCTATTTTATATATTTGTAAGTGGTCTGTTATTTTATAATGAAAGAACATTATAGATCACTATGTTTTATCAATATTGTCTATGGAAGTTTTTTGAGGATGTGCCAGCCATCCTTTTTTTTAAAAAAAAAGAAAAAAAAGGGAATTCTGGGTATTGGCTACATGACACATTTTAACTCATTTTTTCCTATACTGGTTACAAAAAATTTTATGGATATTAAGTCGCAGATTAAAATGGCTTTTCAAAAATTTGATGGATTTCCTAGCTACTTTAGAGATATTACACTAGCTTCTTACTGAAAAATGCTGTGTTAGGCTGTAAGTTGTAATTGAAAATTATTTGAAATACTGTAGTAGTAGTATGCTCCCTAACTTCTCATTCATTAATGGTGGAGTTCTTTGTCTATTTGAATTATGTGGGCTTTTTTACATGTGTATCTCAAGTTACCAGATCAATTGTTAATCCTTTCTTGGTTTATAGTCAAGATGTGCATTCCACAGAGTATCAGACTCAAAACATTTACATTGGGTAATGCATCTTTTTTATGGTACAAACACAGAAGGGGAGAGCTTACTGAGAAATGTCCATGGGGCCTGAAATGCCACAGTTTCCTTTTTCTGAACACTGGGACTATTTTGGAAAGAATGGGCACAGTCAAAAAATTATGGCTGTATTTTGCCTATCTGTGTTACAGTGGCAGTCAGTATCCTGTGGCTTTGGAGAAGTCTCATATATTTGTAACCTTCTACCCCAATGTACCAAATATGATGGGGTGTCAGAAGGATATGTCCCAATCCTGTCTCTGTCATCAGAGAATTGGCTTGAGAAAGAAAAGAGATGAGTGAGGCTGGGTGAGATTATACCCAGGTTAGGGTGTGCTAACCACAGATACCAGAAGAATTTAATTTCTTTTTTCTTATGCTGTGGCAACACTTACATAGTTTACCAAGTCAATGCACTGAAGCCCCAATACATTGAACTAGAATTATGTATGCTACATTTGCACTGCTCAAGGATCTCTCCCAGCATTGAAGCCTGGATGTCATTATCACTGTCCCTCAACCTGTCCCCTAAGTTCCTGCTATGACCCTTTCAACTGGGTTCACAGGGTGCAGAGCGGAGTTTAAAGGAGACATTGTCACTATTAACTAACACAGAATGTATTGATTATTTGATAGGCTTCCCACTTGTAAATTAGGTGAATCTGCCATCTATAATGATGCTCCTTGACTTCCTCAATTTCTTGCTGGCCACACAATTTTTATAGTGAAAAGCACCTCACAACCATTTTGGGAGGAAAACTGTTGGTGGTTATAGTATGAGACACTCATGTTTCTTTAATTCCTTGCTACAGTCTCAAGATGTATGCCTCTCAGGCTCTTACTGGTTCACATTTTCCTACTGTCACTGACTTCTTGTTCAGTCCACATTCTGCATTACATGTGTCTGAACTTGTTGCATTTTTTTGTAAGTTCTGGCTAGCAAATGCAGATATTAGAGCTCTTAAAATAATACCAGCTTTACCTTCTTCTCTGTGCATGTCTACATGAGATGTTTACTGCATAGTACCCTAATTCAGCTGT